AAAAAAAAAAAAAAAAAAGAAAAATTATTAGCTGGGTGTAGTGACATACATCTGTGGTCCCAGCTACTTCAGAGGCTGACGTAGGAGGATCACATAAGCCCAGGAGGTTGAGGCTACAGGGAGCTGCAATCATGCCACCTCACTCCAGTCTCAGTGACAGAGTGAGACTGTCTCAAAAAACAAATACCAAAATACAAAACAAAAGAGTAGCTGAAATCAAACTGCCTGGGTCAAACTTTGGGTTGCTACTCTCACATGAACATGACCAAGTTACTTAACATTTCTGGGCCTTGTTCTGCTTTTCTACAAATGAGAATAACCATACCTACTCTTTAGTGTTAGTTTAAAAATTAAATAATAATTCATGTACAACAGAGAGTGTACACTCAGAAGTATTCAATACATATTAATTATAACTATAAAGATAACTTTTGGTAACATTTTAATAATTATACTTTTTTCAGACTTATAAACATCAATTTCATCAGTGTATTTAATTGGTATGAAGCTAAAGGGTTTTGAAAATTGATTTTGAAAAACATGTTTTAAAAATAATAATGCAGGTAGTACACAGACATGGTAAAAGAACCAATCAACAGAAGATTTCAACCTCACTAGTAACTGAGTAAATGCAAATAGAAACAATAGTGAGATATCATGTTTTGTCTCTCAGCTTTAAAATTTTATTTTATTTTACTTTTTTTGAGACCAAGTCTCACTCTGTCACCAGGCTGGAGTGCGGTGGCGCGATCTCAGCTCACTACCTCCTCCACTACCCAAGTTCAAGTGATTCTCCTACCTCAGCCTCACGAGTAGCTAGGACTACAGACACGCGCCACCAGGCCCAGCTAATTTTTGTATTTTTACTAGAGACGAGGTTTCACCATGTTGGCCAGGATGGTCTCGATCTCTTGACCTCGTGATCTGCCCACCTCAGCCTCCCAAAGTGCTGGGATTACAGGTGCAAGTCAACATGCCCAGCCTAAAAAAAAATTTTAAATACTACCAGTAAAGATAATTGCATGAAGAATATTTTAAAAACCTTTTTATGACTACATACAGTGGGAGATCAAATAAAATTGCCATAAAAAGATACTCAAAGACATTCGAGATTAAGCAAATAACCATAGGGACATGTATATACTATGAGCTCATAGTTTTAAGTTTGTGTACAGATAAACAGACACAGAATTGTAAAACAAAAAAATCTAAAATAACACATGGTAAAACTGTTAACAATAATGTAATCACAAATGGGCAGGAGAATGAAACGGACAAAGTTGAAAGGGAACCATTTCCTTTAATTTCTACGTCTATATCTCTATTGCCCTACCTCACTCAAACAAGAATTTTTTCTCCTCTATTACGTTTATAGTACTTTTTAATGGGAGGAAAACAAAATTTTCCAAAATATCAACTTAGGATGAATTGTATCCTCTAAAATTTGTTTTTATTGAATTATAAAACATTAATTATTTTAATTGCAGAAGAGCACTATACAAAATGGGGGGAAAATTCAACATCCTATTTCAACACTTTCAACATTTACATAATATAAACTCAATACTAAAAAAACACACAAGTAATATAGCCAAGTCAAGGTCTAATTTTAGGTGCAATCAAATACAAATTACTGTTACTTATCTTGAAGGATATTCAAAAGTGGTAAAGAAAAAGTAAACGTTTAAGCTAATCACAGATTACAAGGTATCTGGGCTCCAAAAGTCTCTATTAAGTGCATGCCATCATAGAGGTGACAAAAATAAATCTAAAATTGCTACTGAAATGATTTTGAGAAACTGAAAACTACTCTAAGATTGGATTTTACCAGTATGATTAACTTTGCTGTAGTTTTATGACAACCTTTATTAGGTAAAAAGTATATGATAATATGATCAACTGAAACACTGAAAGTCATATTTTTTTCTAAAAGGTAAAGTTCCATTTCATGTCCAATTTTTCCAACTTTCCCAATTTAGAATAACAAATTTTCTATAATTTATTTTTTTAATTAATTAATTTTTTTTTTTGAGATGGAGTTTTGCTCTTGTCACCCAGGCTGGAGTGCAGGGGCACAATCTTGGCTCACTGCAACCTCCACCTCCTAGGTTGAAGGGATTCTCCTGCCTCAGCCTCCCAAGTAGCTGAAATTACAGGTGTCTGCCACCACACCTGGCTAATTTTCGTATTATTAGTAGAGACAGCATTTTACCATGTTGGCCAGGATGGTCTTGAACTCTTGACCTCAGGTGATCTGCCCACCTCGGCCTCCCAAAGTGCTGGAATAACAGGCATGAGCCACAACGCCCAGCCTCATATTTCTTTATAAAGGTAATTTTCTTATTATATTAAGTTCCCTAAACAATAAGCACAGATAACAAAATCATTTCACAGTCTTACCTGTAAGTTAACCAAGGTTCCAAATCGACTAAAATGTTCATTAAGTTTGCTGATATTATTTAATTCTGGAGGAACTTTTCTAAGTTCAAGTTTGGTATTTTCATTTCCAAATTGAACCTTCTTCTGAAAGCCTGGGCTGTTTGTTCTATTAAAATTTGGTCTGTAAACAAAATTCAAGTTAGTCAGTTCATTTATAAATCCCGATCCTGACCAAATACAAGGGAATAAAGTTTAACATGCAAAACAGATGTCCAATTAAGCTCAATTTCCACCCCAAATGGAAATCATTGGTTGATAAAGGAAATTTAAATTTTCTTCCAACAATGAAGTTTTCAAATGAACATGTTAGCACTTTTCATGGAAGCCAACTGCGAAGTGATCTGCCATATCATTTGTTACTTTCCACTTCTGATCTACCCCTACTCAACATTTTTATGAGGAAAAGTCTCAGTATCCTCTTTTAGTCAATTTGCATATATAACCTTTATTCTGTTTCTGTAAAAGTCAGCTTATTGAAAAATATTGTATCTTAAAACTTTAAGTTTTGAATTTGATTTAAAATCATTTTTTCGTGACACTCTCAACTTCTTTCCTTTTTTTTAAAAAAAAGATTTGCAACTATAGAGAATACCTTTTGACACTTGAAAAAAGGATAAAACTGCAGCCTAGAGAGAATACACTGCATTAAATCACAGAATCACAAAGAGCCAGAAACTATCCATTATTAAGTAATGTTAAAGCTCTAAAAGTGATTCTAGTCTCTCTTCACACATTTATTTATAAATGAATCATCTCACATATACCTTAACATTCTGATTCCTTAACTCTTTCTTTGAAGCCATTCCTTGACCATTCAATGCCTATCCAGCCTCCCCAAATCCCCTAAAAGCCCTTTCTAGCTCCTAACAGGAACTGCCTAAATATGAAAGTCTCTTGACAGGTCTGATCTATTATCTCCTTTCTCTTAACGATGAGAGGTTCATGACTATCCTGTATATAGCTAGTATTCAACAGATATAAGTTAAAGAGTGGGTTTTTTGGAGAAGGGTAAATGAAAAGAGGAAAAAATTATGCCCTCATCTACCACACCATTTCTATAAGAAAATGCTTTTCTCACATCAGACACCTAACTTAACGAATTTTCTAACAACCCACACTTGGGGGTTGCTTATAGAACACAGTAACATTTTTGGAAGGAACCAAATTATATTGTCATAATAATACAGAAATGATCCTAAAAATCAATGCACAATTACACTCCTCAATTTTCCCGGCCACCTTACTTATCAAACCAAGTCTTCTTTGTAGGAACTCCAGGCTCTCCAGAACCAATGGTTCTTTTCCTTGATTCTGAGTCCACTACTATCCTCATACTGCTTTTATTAGGAGGCTTTTCTGTTTTAAAACAAAAGAAAATGAAAACAAGAAGCATATGTTAATTTTTTTATTTATCACAGCTACTTTCTTAACTTCATACAGAAAAATTTCTGGCTTTTATCTAAATACATACATATTTTAGAAGAAACAGAAATAAATGTATAGTAGCTCCCCCTTATCCAGAGTTTCACTTTTACTGTTTTTTATATCTAGTCAAACATAGTCCAAAACTATGGAAAACTACAGAAATAAACAATTCCTAAGTTTTAAACTGCCTGCCGTTCATGCCATCTTGCTCCATCACTTGCTCTCATCAATTAGGCATTGTATCATCTCCTATCATCCCAAGAAGGGTAAATATAATAAGATATTTTGACAGAGAAAGACAGGGACCATTCACATAACTTTTATTATATTGTTGTAACTGTTTCATTTTATTATTAGATATTGTTAATCTCTTACTGTGTCTAATTTATAAGCTAAACTTTATCACAAGTATATCTGTATAGGAAAAAGCATAGTATACGTAGGGTTTGGTACTCTGTGGTTTTGCATACGAGGAGTCTTGGAACATATCACCCACAAAGAGGGAATTATTGTATATTCAAATACAGCAATCTAAGGGTTTTGTAAAACCTGTTTCAATATATTCATTTCACACCTAACTGTGAAAAAGAATCAATTCTCATATGCCAAATTAAAATTCGATTCTGTAGGCCACTCCTTTGTAGATAAAATCCAAGTCTGTTCCCATCTACCTTTACCCTTACCACAAATATATTTATCAGTGTACAAATGAGAAATAATCACCTTGAGGCTTTAAGTTCATAGTTTTGAAATCAAATGCACAATCTAAAAGATTCAAAACTTAACACTAATCCAATAACCTTTGAGAAGTGACAGCTCAGAGTTATAATTGATGTGAGCTGCTTTTAAAATACAGAATAGATTCATAAAATATGAATGTAATGAAAGCATACTTGCTTTAAAAAGGAAAAGATTCAAGTATAAAATATAGTGTAAAAGAGCAGTAAAATGTCTGTTACTTTCAACATTTTATATTTACTTAGATGGCATGGAATGAGCACAGTACATTTAACATGTTATTCCCAAATGACTCCAAAGTTTAAAACATGGTAACCTTAATCCACATCAGAAAATGTAACTTAAAAATTCTTTTATAGTTGGCAAAATTGATTGTCTAAAATCTTATTCTTACATATTTCTAAACACATAACTAACCAAAAGATTTGAGGATCTGTTTCAGCACAATCTCTCTTATCGCTACAACTATAGTCTCCTGCAGGAGGAAAGCACATGCTCAATTCTAAATTTCCAACTTCTTGGTCATCTCTGGAAATCCTTTAGGTATCCCAAAACTCAGTATGCAGAACATTCAAATTATCTTCATATTAAGTCTACCTTTTATCTTTCTTAAACATTTCTATTAATGAAACTACAATTTTCCCAATCATCCCAGTCAAATCATGTCACATTTGATGTATGACTCTCCACATATGCCATACATACAGAGACTCAAATCAATGCCCTGACCCCTCCTGCTTTCCTCCATCTTCAACCTTTCCCACAACTGGTACTTCCCATCAACATTTAAACATAACAGCTTGAATTACTCCATTTAAAAAAAAAATGCTCATAAAACCACTTTTCCCATTAGCAACAACATCTTCTCTCTCCTTACCTCCACAGCCCTTTCCTAAGCAATGTCCACACTTGCTAACTTTGCTTCCTTAACACTCACTCACTAATTCTCTGAAAATTGGCAGTTGCTACCATTACTGCACTTTACTTGGCTAGGCTAAAATCACTTACTCATGTCCTCACTTGTTGCTTAAGCCTATGAATACATCCCACTCCTCTTACTGGACCGCTCAGGGGCATTTCCTGCTGATGATCATTTTCTTTTCCTTCTTAAATATTATATTCCCAGAGTTTTTAGGAATCCCCACTCCCTGCTTTTTCCTGCAGCTTTTTGACTTCACTTCTAAATTTTCTATAAAGTTTCCCTTTCTCTGTCCATTTACTGTGACACTGACATTTGTCAAGTAGTTATACTTGGGTTTTCTCATCTCACTTTACACAGCCTTCCTAAAACATCTTTCCTATCTACTGCCACGGCTTCATTGATCTTTTTCAGTGATTCTCAGTGGAGATGGGGAAAGGAAGATTTTCAAAACACAGAAGAAAGGCTTTTAAACTTATGTAGGTCAGACCTACAGATTTCGATATGGCTCTATGTCCCTTTACCTCCAATTAGTACTAATAGGACAGAAGAAAAGATTAAGGACCAATGTTGTACATATGCACGATTCCAAACTCTATATATTCTAGACAGCTGTCTCTCATGGGCCTCAGACTTCCATATCCAATCTTTCACTGGACATTTCTACTCAGATGCCCCAGGGGCACAAGAAGTTATTTTCAAAACTAAATTTATCTTTCTGTCAAAGCTGTTCTTCTCAATGAAGGACATTATCATTTGCCCAATTATTCAGGGCAGAAACTGGGTGTCAAATTTCATCCTCTTTATTACCCTTAATTCTAAGCCTCCAAATTCAGTAAATACAAGTTTTGTCAATTCTTTCCACTAAATTTAATTTTTTTCACTTCTCACTTATTACCCTAGTCCAGCTACTATCACCTCTATTCTAAAATTCTATAAATGCTTTTAATTAGCCTCTTACCTCCCTTCACATTCCTTACTTCTGTTTAAATCACAAAATTCCTTCAGTTTCTCAAAAGGATCACAGGGTACATACGCTTTATACACTCTCTTCCTTTAACTCTGACTTATCCTAAATCTCTAAAGCAGACAGGGTGGAAACATCCTGTATCTAGCACCTGTCATGTTCACAGCGCAAGTTGCAGTTTCTCTGTCTAGCGGTCTCTTCACAGAACCAGTTCTGCAAAAGAATTTTTAGTTTTATAACTGCCTCTCAAGCCTGGTTCATTGGCCCTTTTGAAGAATCTGTGAGCTATTCAACATCTTTTGTTTTCTACTTTAATATGTTCTGTACCTGAAGGTTCACTAAGAGAGGGAATAACCCATCTCTAGTAATTGAAATGGGGTTACTCCATCTCATCTGTATTCTCTCATTCAGAATCCTTTTCATTGATATTTATTTAAAAGAAGGGGATTAAAAACACAGAAGCAAGTGCCTCTTGGTATATACTCAGTAAATGGTATAATATTAAATAGTTTTATGTAATGCTTTCCCCCAATATCCTTTTAATAAATTGTTGTGCCTAAAATTGTCAGCACTTGTTTTCTTGATTAGAAATAGAAAACTACTTAACCATTTCTCCTGCCTATATCCAATCATGAGATCTTCTATCAAGTTTCCCCCCTCCTTAGAACTCTGCAAAGAATAACTGTCAGGGTCTCTAGGTCACTTTTACATTAGTAATTTAAATGCACCAAAGGGCCTAAAATTTTTTCCTTTTGCTGAATGGTAATTCCCCTCAAGATTTAAAGCAGTGAGCTTAAAAGTTTAACTATCACATAATAAGTCTATAACAAATTTAAATTAAGGGCATCCATAGGCTATTAGGAATGTATAATAATTATACAATTAACATTATAAGCTTTTTATGTATCTGTCATAATCCAGGACAGTAAATTTAAAATCCAAACAGCAAACAGACAAGAACATATGAGGGGAGGAGAGAGAGGACTAAAAACAGTTAAGAAAATAAAGTTCTATAGGCAATCCTCAAGTTAGATGGGTTGCTAAATCAGTTGTTGGTACATAAAATCGCTGTCGTTAATGGAGAAATCCTGAACCAGCTCACAAAAAATAGTACATGATGTATCTTACGAAAAATACTAAAATAATCACTATATATAAAAATGATTCTATGAGAAAAGGCACTTAAATTTCTAAGTAGGTATGCCAGACATTTATCTCTCAACAGGGTCACTTCCTGTAATTTATGGTTGTATGCATTAAGGGCTGAAATGACCACAGATACAACTTGCACATGGTAAGAGTAATATGCAAGGAGTTTGATCCCCTTCCATCTCTTAATCACAACCAGAAATTGACACGTGAATGGATCAAATAAATATTGATCTATAGTAGCATATATTAATAGCATTCCTAAGCAGCAAAGTAGAAAGAAATGACTTTAGTGGGAAATCCCAGTAAAAGGTTAACTGAAGTGGAAATTCACATTAAAAGGTTCCCAGTAAAAGAAGAGAGAGTTTCTGTGAACTAGCCAGGTGGGTGGCAGGTTCTGGGTATGGGTAAACATCACACAACATTTAGGCTCTTAAGTGGCTACTTTTCAATTACAAGCAATCTGTATATCCCTCACATAGAAACTATTTTAAAAATCTTTTTCTGTTGTTAATAGCTATTGAAATTCCTCAAAGAGAATTTAAAAGGAATGGGCATCTACATTAAACCTTGTCCTATGAACTCAAAGAGGATAAAAATCTGAATTTAAATGTTCTACATCTCCATTACAAAAAGTCCGTATACATTCAAGGAAGATGCTCTGAATCTGATAGCTTCCAATGAACAAAAGAAAAAATACCAAGTTTATGTAAGTAATCACAAGTTTACCAGACGCGATTAAGCACTGTTACTCAACTAAGACTTTTACTGGAGAAGTATGATTTTTAATTCAATTAGGTAAGACAATAAGGAAAGACTAGAAAGAAAATGGAATTTAAAACTTAATTGAGGTGGTTAGGGAAAAAGATACATTCTTATTAGCCCAGGAAATATTTTCTATTATGTCTGACAATCCTTTATTTCCCTATATCGAATGTCACCTGTAACAAATACTGTATTTTCCAAATTAATGTGAACTTTCTCCCTCTGAATCTTACTAGTTTACATTTACATTTGAAGTGTAGCAGTTTTGCTGCCCTAGCTTGTGACTATGTCAGCCCAAACAGTACCTTTTAGAAATTTTATCCAAGTCTGTCTCCTCTAAGAAAATTTTAAAAGATGAGTCATTGCCTAACACATAATATCCTTTGCTTAAAAATATTATAAGCAAATAGAGAATTTTAACATGTCAAAAGTCAGCAAAAATAAAATATATACCAAGCACAATTTTTACACATGATTTTCCAAACTTGGAATAAACTTATCTTTATGAATTAAAGCGTTACTCTCAAGAGTTTAAATGAAACAATCAAGACTACAAATGATACAAATTACCACACACACACACACACACACACACACACACACACACACACACAAAGGCTACTCAAGAAAATGTACTTAAGAAATTCCCTTCCCTCTTAGGTAGTATGATTATTGCATAATAAAGTGTCACCTCTACCACAAATACAGATTACACAATATATTTTCTCTAATGGGAATGAGGGGCATAGGGAACAAACAAAATCACAATCCCAGCAGAGTGCGGTGGCTCAGCCTATACTCCCAGCACCTTGGGAGGCAGAGGCGGGCAGATTACTTGAGGTCTGGAGTTCAAGACAAGCCTGGCCAATATGGTGAAATCCCATCTCTTCTAAAAATACAAAAATTAGCCAAGCATGGTAGCATGTGCCTGTGATCCCAGGTCACTTGGGAGGTTGAGGCAGGAGAATCACTTGAACTGGCAGGCAGAGGTTATAGTGAGCTGAGATCATGCCACTGCATGCCCGCCTGGGCCACAGAGCAAGACTCTATCTTAAAAATAAATAAATTATAAAACTAAAAAATAAATCATCATTCCTTATCCAACCCCAATAAAGACAAGACCAAGTGTTCTTTATAAATGTTTTCCCACTGTTTATATTATGAAAATGACAGGAAGGAAAGATTAATTATAGTACCTCTGGGTGGCAAATCCATATCCCCTGATGTTAGTCCTATCAAGTTGGGCCTTTGTGCATGCACTCTGTGTCTATACATAGGTCTGGAAGTGTTTGTTATGCTTGGGGCTTCAGGATTGTAGCCATCTGTGTCATATGTATCTGGTAATACAAAAACTGTAATTAAAAAACAATTATAAAATTCCACTTGGTAATTTTTTAATATTGATGAGAAAAAGTAAACAGTATAACATTGTTAATATATAACATGCTTTATATGTATCAAAAAAGAAAATAAACTTTATTTTAAAAAGTTATTAAAAAGAAAATGTTTGTGAAAACATTTATAATTGGGGGATTATTTAATGTACATTCACCATGCCTATACAATTTTAGTGAGGAAAGTAGTCTTCAGAGCAATTCTCTCTAGACATTTTAAAATTCTTCATCTAAAACTACATTATGAATATAAAAAGGACCAAAACTGCACCTGCAGTAAAAAGAGAGGGTGGAGCAGGAGGAGGCTGGTGATGAATGCCAGTTGTTACTACAGTAGGAACAGAACTGGTTGCAGAGTTTGGGGGAGCATCCATGCCAGATGGCTGCAAAGGAGGAAGTGGAGGTGGTGGTCCTGTCAAAACCAAAGAATAAGAAATATCATCTGAAAGCAAACAAATAAAACAAGTTATTGCACATCCGAACATAATCTTCTCATTTATCAAACTATAATATCTACGAACACCAAGCTCTTACAGCTGAATTAGATTTCCAGGGTAAAATATCCTTTTAATGCATTTCAAAACAGGTTTGCCTTAAGCTATGAAGGCCTGCAGGCAGCCAGGTTTTACCAGTGATGTACTTAATTCACAGGGTCACTCCAAACCACAGTAACTGGATTGGCACAGGCTACAAAGTGGAGGTGTATTCAAAATGGAAATATATTGCTAATTGTTTCTATCAGGCATCTATGGGATTCCTCTAGATACTTTTAATTTAAAAATCAAACTATTGGCCGGGCGCAGTGGCTCAACCCTGTAATCCCAGCACTTTGGGAGGCCGAGGCGGGTGGATCACGAGGTCAAGAGATCGAGACCATCCTGGTCAACATGGTGAAACCCCGTCTCTACTAAAAATACAAAAAATTAGCTGGGCATGGTGGTGCGTGCCTGTAATCCCAGCTACTCAGGAGGCTGAGGCAGGAGAATTGCCTGAACCCAGGAGGCGGAGGTTGCGGTGAGCCGAGATCGCGCCATTGCACTCCAGCCTGGGTAACATGAGTGAAACTCCATCTCAAAACAAACAAACAAACAAAAACAAAAACAAACAAACAAAAAAGAATCAAACTATTAACTTTCAAAAATAGACTAAGAATGGCTAGGTAAATACAGGCAAACATATTTACTTACCTGTGACAGGTGGGAGACTTGGTGGCAATGGACCTGGAGGTGGCACTGGGGGCCTGAGGTTCACAGGTGGGGGTGTAAGAATTGGTGGAGGTGGGGGGAGTCCAGGAGGAGGTGGTCCTTCAACAACAGGAGGCTGTGCTGGGAAAGGCAGCATACCAGGAAGATTCACATCTTCTACAACTACTGGGTCACTTCCATGATCGAACGGACACATGTCTCCTCTCATACAAAAACCTTTTTCTATGAGGAAAGAATAGTTACAAACAAATGTCAAAACTACTGGAAATATACATTTTCTATAAGTTAGCAAAAGTATTTAAAAAATGAATATTATTAATGTTAGACAAAAGGATAATTAACCATTTCCCAAGAGCTACTTGCTCTTCTCTAGTAATATATTTATCAAGTGATAGTCTATTTAACATACTGATATAGTTAGGATGTTTATCCTCTCCAAATCTCATGTTGAAATGTGACAATCTGGCCAGGCGTGGTGACTCACCTGAGGTCAGGAGTTCAAGACCAGCCTGATCAACATGGTGAAACCCAATCTCTACTAAAAATACAAAAATTAGCTAGACGTTGGGGTGGGCACCTGTAAGCCCAGCTACTCAGGAGGCAAAAGCAGGAGAATCACTACAACTGTGGAGGTGGAGGCTGCAGTAAGCCAAAATCGCAACATTGTATTCCAGCCTGGGAGACAGGGTAGACTCAGCCTGGGGGGGGGGGGAAGAAATGTGACAATGTTGGAGGTGGGGCCTGGTGGGAGGTTTTAGGGTGTCATGGAAGTAGATTCTTCATGAATAGCTTAGCCTCCCCAAGGTAACAAGTGAGTTCTCCCTCTATTAGTTCACAGGAGCTGGTTGTTTAAAAGAGCATGGCACCTCCCCCACCACCAACTCCACTCCTGCTCTTTCTTTGTGGCTCTCCCTTTGCCTTCTACCATGATTGTAAACTTCCTGAGGTCTTTGCCAGATGCAGATGCTGGCTCTACACTTTTTGTATAGTCTGCAGAACCATGAGCCAAAGAAACCTCTATTTTTTATAATTTCCCAGGCTCAGGTATTCCTTCAGAGCAATGTTAAACGAACTAACACATATACATACTTAAAAAGAAATCAAATTAAAATAAGTAACCTAGCTAACAAGATAAGACTTATATCTAATTTTTGTCTTTAGAAATGTCCTTCATTTAAATCTCTTGCTTAAAACTAAAAAAAAAAAAAAATTGCAATTATGGCTTTAATACTACTTAAAAATCTTTTACGGCAAATCCTTAAAAGTCTTCAATTCTTTAATAAAATTCTTACATAGGTGACATTTTACATTTCTAGGTACATTTCTGCTTACAGTCCAATGATCACCCATTCTAAAGAAATGAGTTTTATCAACAATTTTTCAGTAGCAGATTCCCTAATAACTCAGTAGATATTTTACCCTTGTTTGGTAAACTCCCACAATTTATTAAGATTTACTTGCAAATAAATAGAATCTTTAAATTGATACTCAAATAATTCGTGGTAACTAACAACCGTTTCAATCATATTGAGGAATTCAAGAACTGATTAAGGCTAATTTCCCACTATTTCAGAAGTTAAGTCTTTGAAAAACCGTGTACAACATAAACACAGAATTTACGCAGCTGAAAATACTAAATACTTCATGAAACAGCTGAAAGACTTACCATCATAGTCTCTACACCGTTTCTTTGGCATGGGTGGTCTTACGTATGAGTTATGGTCCACCTGGTCTTCATGAAATTCAGACCAACTTTCGGTAGTGTTGTTACCATGATGAGTAGGAGCAATTACTGTAATAGTGCTGCTCAAAGTAGGTACAGGATAGTGGCCAGATGAAATACTAGGTACCGAAGAGACTGGAGTGTAATTATTTTCTAACGGATCTGTTCTATCCAGGTCATATTTAGGTTTTACCAGATCCCTTTCTGCAATAAAAGATAAATGACTTATAAAACTACACTGTATTTAAAAAAAAAAAAAAGTCCCAGATGTAAGAAATAGTAATATTTTTATAAACATAGAAAAAAACATTTTAAATTTTGCAAAATCATCCTTTTTTTAAAAAAAAATTAATATACAATGTTAAAAGCTTTTTTCAATATAACCCAAACTACAAATAAAACCACATAAAGTGGCCATATTTGTTTTTCCTTAGAGCTTTGTTTATAGAAAAAAGAAATTTTTTATTTTCTTTATCACAATCTTGGAATGTATAATTACAGGCCACAAAACAAAACATGTAATAAAGTATGGTCATTTTTCCTGTGATGAACATTTTGTAGTCATCCATCTAAAGTTATTACTATGTCTGTTTATTAAGGTAAGAACAGATGAGCCAAAAGGAGCTCATATTAAACATGTATAAAGAAACTAACTAGACTATACATATGGTCCTAAGGAGAGAGAAAATAAATTAAAGAGATTAGTTAATTGAAGCAACATGCCAAGAAGCCTAATATACCTAGATCACAGCAGGGGAACATTTCTAAGAAAAGAATAACAGAATACAAGGTTTATACAAAGGCCATAAATAGTATTAAGAGTAGCAAAAAAAGTTTGAGTAAAGGTGTTTTACTGAAAAGTGTTTTAGTTGTTTTAGTACAGTATTTTACTTTCAATAACATGTACTAGAAGAAAAATCATACATGTTGGGAATAACATGCTGTTACAAAAATATACATCTGAAATAAAACTTTTTAAACTTTTAAAAATAGCTTTGAAGTATAACTGATATATAATAAACTGAACATATTTTAACTGTATAATAAGTTTTAAGGTACTGTATACACCTCTGAAAACAATACTACAACTGAAATGATGTACATATTCATCACTCCCAAAAGAATCATCATATCCCTTTATAATTTTTACTCTATCCCTCTTTTACTCTATCTCAGGCAACCACTGCTTTGCTTTCTGTCATCACAGATTAGTCTGCATTTTTAAAATTTTACTCTGGGCACAGTGGCTTAGGCCTATAATCCCAGCACTTTGGTAGGCTGAGGTGGGTGGATCACCTAAGGTCAGGAATTAGAGACCAGTCTGGCCAACAGAGCAAAACCCCCAAGGTGACTCTACTAAAAGTACAAAAATTAGCTGAGCATGATGGCACTCGCCTGTAAACCCAGCCACTCGCGAGGCTGACGCATGATAATCACTTGAACCCAGGAGGCGGAGGTTTCAGTGAACCGAGATGGTACCACTATACTCCAGCCTGGGTGACAGAGCAAGACTCTGTCTCAAAGACAAAAAAAATTAAAAAATTTTTAATATACATATTTAATATTGTCCTGCTTCTTTCACTCTGCATAATTATATGTAGATTCATCCATTTTATTGCATGTATAATAGTTCTTTTCTTTTTATCCATGTTATGGTATGGACATACCACAACGTGTTTATACATTCACCTGTTGATGGTCATTTATGTTGTTTCTAGTTTCTGGCTATTACAAATAAGGCTGCTATGAACATTTGTGTACAAGTATCCGTGTGGACGTACACTTTCATTTCTTTTAGGTAAACAGCGAGAAGTAGAATAGTGGAACCATATGCTAAGCGTAGTTTTAACATTTTTATATACTGCCAAAATGCTTTTTACAGCTTATCTACAGTCTCACCAACACTGAAGACAATCAGTCTTTTTCACTGTGGCTATCCCACAGAATGTGCAGTGGTAACTGTGATTTTAATCTGCACAAAATAAAATTTTTCAAGGAATTTTTTTAAAGCATTCTCTTTCACCACAGAATATATCAAATAGAAAAAAATGAAAACACTGACAAAATGTTAAGCAATTTTTAAAAACATTTAAATATGGAGTTCTTCACAATAAAAAGGTAACCAAAATATACATGTACTATTTACCCCTGCTTCGTGTTCTGCTTCTGCTTCTAGTCCTGCTTCTATCTCTGTCCCTCTCACGAAGCCTCTCTTTACTCCAACTTCGACTTCGACTCCTGCTGTAACTGCGACTCCGCCCTCGTCTTCTATTGTACCGGTCTCTGTATGAATCTCTTCGAGGAGGGTTTCGATCATAATCTCTTTTGCGAGAACGATCATCTTTCTTTCTCTCATCACGGCTTCTAAAGAAATATATGATGACTTTTATACAAATAACTTTTAAGTGACACAGGCAAAAGCTAATTAAATGTAAAAGTCATATTTAATTCTTGTAACATAACTTTTTATCCTACCATCAGACAACTGAAAAAACTGAGCTTAAACTGAGTTTAGTACTCTAAATCCCTTTTAAATAAAAAACAATCTTTTTAAAGCCTTAACCCTTAGTCTTATACACATTGGCATCTATAAAATTAGGCATCTGTAGATAAAGGCATTTATACATATGACTTAGAGTACAAACAGAAAGAACATACTACCTTGTACATATAGTCTCACACTTACAGACATGTATCATGTGCATTGTATTCTAAGTGCTTTTGAACCCTGAATGAGAACAACGATTTAATCACACTAAAGGGTAACTTCTGGCAAAAAAAGAGCCACACATTAAGATTCCACTGGAATCTGAAGTTAGGAATGAAAGAGTACCAGCTAATATAAATCAAGCACTGTTCTAAACTCACTCCCAAGATGTACAAATCTGACCTAGATTTTCACAGTAGAAATATTTTCCTAGATCAATAAAAAAGTAGATATTACTTGCCTCTATGTAAAAGATAATCCAAGTCTAAACATTCACATAAAAGGTAACTGAAGTTGAAACACTAAGCATGGTTCAATGAACCACTTACCTATTCTCCCTGTATCGGGAGCTTGACTGGGGAGGACTGTGATTTAGCCTTCTAGAAAACTTCTTCTCTCGCTCTTCCTCCTTAGTGATCTGATATACACAAAAAAAAGGTGTACAAGTTTAGTAGTTATTCCACTGTAACAGTCTTAGACACATTACTACTTTAATGACTTTATTAACATTAACATTTAATTAACATAAAAATGTTTATATAATGTAGAAGCAAAATTGTCATCTTCTAAAAGTATCCAAACAATACGAAGTATAATCAATCATTTAACTGTATTACAATCTAATGAAAGTTAAAGTGAATGATAAAGAAACTTAGATAATAGTGGTGAGAAAACATTTTAAACAAGTATGCTCATTTTAACATAATTAATGGAAAACTTTATTCTTTTAAAAGTCTAACATACATTCATATTTTGGTTTCATGGACATGGTCTGGTACCAAACACATCAAGGAACGTAGGAGAATGCATTAGAACTCACCAAGTCATAAACATATATATACATATATATATGTATACACAGACATAGACACACAGACACAGACACACAGACATACACACAAACACACACGTATCTGGGAAAACAATATATAAGGCGAAACAGTTCTCCAGTTTCTCACAGTAGCATGACAGCTATACATTCCTGTTTCCTACAAGATGCTGCCATTTATTACATACAGCTACTAGAAAGCAACCCTGGACAATACCCTCTAGATTAGTGCTACCTTCTCCAGACTATATTGTTGAGAACAATGGTCCTCAACAACAGGAATGAAAGGAATTGTTGTTTTTCTAGATAATTAGGAAAAAGGACTTAGAGGTTAAACAAATTCAGGAAATACTGACCAAGTGGCTTCTATAAATAAGTTAGGATTCAAGACTTTGCATCACTGAGAACCGTAAGATATTCTTAGGCAGGTAGTCTACAGCTAGGGTATACGTGTCCCAGTTTATGTCAGCTGTTCAAGCATCCCTTTGATAATAGCCTCTGACTGTCACAAGTGTGCCACTTTAGGCTGGGCATGGTAGCTCACGCGCCTGTAATCCCAGCACTTTGGAAGGCCGAGGTGGGTGGATTATTTGAGGTCAGCAGTTCGAGACCAGCCTGGCCAACATGCTGAAATCCCATGTCTACTAAAAATACAAAAATTAGCCGCCAGGCCAGGCATGGTGGCACGTGCCTGTAATCCCAGGAGGGAATTCCAAGAGGGAAACTCAGGAAGCTGAGGCAGGAGAATTGCTTGAACCCAGGAGGCAGAGGTTGCAGTGAGCCAAGATGGTGCCACGCACAGCACTCCAGCCTGGGCAACAAAGTAAGACTCCATCTCAAAAAAAATAAAAGTAAGCATGCCACTTTAGATGAGAAATCAAATGGAAATCCTATTAACAGACCAGACTAGGAAAAATCATCTTTAAAGCATTCTTTCAACAGTTTGCCTTTTTAAATTCAAGTAGTTTTGTACTCTTTCCACCTATTTCAGCTCTCGTCCCAGACCAGACAAAAGACTGGGTATTAATACAACCCTTCTGATGCACTCTTTCTCTTCTATTTACTCAATGCACTCTTGCAAGTAATCTGACAGATCACCATATTTCACAGTATGTGCCTATCTGCAAACTTTTAGTACAGCCACAGCATTTTTTTTTTTTTTTCAGATAGGGTCTCACTCTGTTGCCCAGCCTGGAGTGCAGTGGCTCGATCTCAGCTAACTGCAACCTCCACCTTCTGAGTTCAAGCAATTCTCCTGCCTCAGCCTCCAGAGTAGCTAGGATTACAGGCACCCACCACCATGCCCAGTTAATTTTTATATTTTTAGTAGAGACGGCGTTTCACCATGTTGGTCAGGCTGGTCTCAAACTCCTGATCTCAGGTGATCCACCCACCTCTGCCTCCCAACGTGCTGGGATTACAGGCATAAGCCACCACAGCCACAGCATTTTAAATGCAGATTGCCATCTAGCATTTTGACAATTCTGAAAGATCAGGGATAAGTATCTCCCACAATTGGTTGAGAAAACAGCAATGAAGTATTATTACATCCATAGATAATAAGACTAAGGCTTTGCTACTAACTCAATTGGATGAAAGACTACTTCTCAAGCCAAAGGACAATGACTTACTCCAAGATTTTTTGAGAATTAAAGTAAGAGAGAGAGAAAGAGAGAGAGAGAGAGAGAGAGAGTGTGTGTGTGCACGCATCTGACGTGCGGGTGTGTGCGCATATTTTTTTTGAGACAGACTTTCACTCCTCACCCAGGCTGGAGTGCAATGGCATGGTCTCGGCTCACTGCAACCTCTGCCTCCCAGTTCAAGCGATTCTCCTGCCTCAGCCTCCTGAGTAACTGGGATTACAGGCTCTCGCCCCCATGCCTGGCTAATTTTTGTATTTTTAGTATATATGGGGTTTCACCATGTTGGCCAACCTGGTCTCGAACTCCTGATCTAAGGTGATCTGCCTGCCTCAGCCTCCCAAAGTGCTGGGATTACAGGTATGAGCCACCACTCCTGGACAAAGTATAATTTTTAACAGCCAAAATCTAAAACCAACCCAAAGTTCCACCAGTGGGCAAAACTTGAATAAATCATTGCATATCTCTACGTGGCATAAGCAATTGCCAACACAATATCCACCATTCCTTTCTTCCTAACAGAACACCTGTACTGTTAGGTATGAAACATATTTAGTACAAATTACATTTCTGTTCTTCCCAGGAAGATAAAACTGATTGGGGGCCGGGCGCGGTGGCTCACACCTGTAATCCCAGCACTTTGGGAGGCCAAGGCGGGAGGATCACGAGGTCAAGAGATCGAGATCATCCTGGTCAACATGGCCCCGTCTCTACTAAAAATACAAAAAAAATCAGCTGGGCATGGTGGCGCGTGCCTGTAATCCCAGCTACTCAGGAGGCTGAGGCAGAACTGTCTGAACCCAGGAGGCGGAGGTTGTAGTGAGCCAAGATCGTGCCATTGCACTCCAGCCTGGGTAACAAAAGCGAAACTCCATCTCAAAAA